TCACTCACTCACTCACTCACTCACTCACTCACTCACTCACTCACTCACTCCTTTTTAGAAAGGAACCAAGTATGGAATGAGTCTTCTCCCTGACCATTTCTCATGAGAGGACAGCTCAGAAACCTATTTCTCCTTTTCAAGTATAGAACATTAAATAACCTCTCTAATAAGACTTCTATTTGGCACTACTTAGTAGAACAAAAACAACAAGAATCATGGACAAATATGGCATTCCTTTTTGTGTTGTCGTATTTTTGAGACAGGGTTTCTCTCTGTAGGCCTAGCTGTCCTGTAGATCAAAGCTTGGCTTTGAAGATCTGCCTGCCTCAGCCTTCCAAGTACTGGGATTGAAGGCATGTACCTCCACCACCTGCCTAAATATGGCATTTCTTAACAATTTGACTATATGGATGAAACCAGATATTGGTCACACGTTCACAAGTGCACACATACACATGAATGTGAGCACATCTGTGTAGACATACATGCCACAGTGCCAATATGGAGCTCAGAGGATAACTTGCAGGAGTCAGGTTTTTCTTCCACTATGTGGGTTGCAGGGATAGAACTTAAGTCAATAGCTTGACAGCAAGCAAGTTTAGCATCCTACCAGTCTTTAACTAGATGTTTTACATGTTTTTTGTTTTGTTGCTTTTTTGCTTTTTGTATCAATAATATGAAACAAGTGATACTATCCAAGTTACAGAAAGTAAACTAGGGCAAGGGGCTAGGAATATAATGCAGTTAGTAGAATGACTGTCTGTTACTCACAAAGCTCTGGGTTTGATCCCCATATCACATTAAAATGGGTATTGTGGGACATATATAAAATCATAACACTCGGTAGATAAGAGGCAGGACAATAAGAGTTCAAGGTTATCTTAAGCTATAGAGAGTTTGAATATAGCCTGGGTTACCTAGGCCTGTCTTGAAAAGCAAAAAGGAAGTCTCAGATTGGTTAAAAAATCATCTATGGGGGCCTGGAGAGATGGCTCAGTGGTTAAGAGCACTGTCTGTTCTTCCAAAGGACCTGGGTTCAATTCCCAGCACTCACATGGCAGATCACAACTGTCTATAACTCCAGTTCCAGGGGATCTGACACCTTCACACCAATGCACATAAAATAAAATTAAATAAATTATTTAAAAAAAAAATCATCTATGGCAGCAGTTCTCAACCTGGGGGTCACATATCAGATACACAGCATGTCAGACATTTATTTCACAATTCATAATGGTAAAACATAAAATTACAGTTATGAAGTAGCAAAAAATTAATTTTATGGTTGAGGGTCACCACAACATGAGGGACTGTATTTAAAGGATGCAGCATTAGGAAGGTTGAGAACTACTGATCTAGGGTGTTAGAGAATAGGAATTAGATCCAAGAAAAATACACATTTCCCATCATCATCTAGAGATGCTCTATAGTGATAGCAGGCAATAATGAAAATGCCTTTGGAAGAGCACTGTGCACTGGAGGACTGAAAGAAGGCTGAACGCTTGCAAACAAATAAAATCCCCTATTATCACTGGGCATGGAAATACAGTCTGACATACAAACATACTTAGCGTCTTGTCTCCCCATATACCCTAGGATTAGCTGTCCCAAAAGTGCAACAATGTGTTGGTAGGAACTCAGATCCAAGGAAGAGTTTAGAGAAGAATGACAAGGTCCCAAGGAAACACAGGCCAGACAAGAGGCAGAATGCCAAAATGCTGAACAGCTAACACTGCATGTTGCTTAAAGGGATTGCATGTGTGTGTGGCATATGTTTTTGTGGTACATTCACATAAATGTGTGGGAACACATACAAATGCTTGTATATGTACAGGCCCCAGGAAAACATTGGGTGTCCATCTCTGTTTCTCTCCATCACACTTCCTTGAAGCAATGTTGCTCACTGAATTAAAAGCTTGACTTTTTGTCTAGGCTAGTTAGCCAGCAAGTTCACAAGATCCTCGTCCAACCCCACAAATTCTGGGGTTACAGGCACACACAGCCATGTCTGGCTTTATGTACTCACGTCCTCATGCTTGCACAGCAAGCGCTCTTACCAACTAAGCCATCTCTATAGTCCCAAAAGATTTTTTTGAAATATTACATACTATAGACAAGCATACATTTTCACAAGATATATTTATGTTTACTTAGTTATTTTGATAATGTCTGTGTGTGTTTTACACTTGCCAGCAAGAACCAAAGTCAGATAAAAATTATCACTCCACTGTTACCACAATCCTCACCTCAATGCTCTGGAGCTGAACAGCTATACGCTCTTTTTCCTTGATGGATCTATGCTGAGTTTCTGTTAGTTGATGTGATAGGGACACATTCTCAATCTTCAGGTGCTCCAAAAGGCCGGCTTGGGTCATCTGTCCAACCTTCAAAAGTAAGTAAGTAAGTAAGTAAATAAATAAATAAATACATAAATAAATAAAGCCCAGGAGGTAAAAAGGAGCTTAAAATTAGGCATCAAGTATGGGGCAGATGATCCCTAGTCACTAAGAGGTTCTCTTTTTGTTAAGGATGGCTACTGACAGACCTTCTAAATGTCCCTAATGCAGGGAAAGCTCCTGCCCTTTGGTCTTCTGCTCCAGGACTCACCTTCACAACCCTCTGCCAACCTACCTTGAACTTGAGCCATACAGGTTCTGTATGGGGCTGGGAGCCCACTAAGAAACCATGCCTTCACACCTGAGAATGTGCAGTTTAGACATGATCTACACTGGAGTTCCCACTTAAGGTACACCTTTAAACTAATAACTAAATCCCAACGAATCCCCACCAGTGCCAAAGACAATCAGGGCCTAATTTAATTCACAGTGTTTACAAGAAAGAGAGGCCAGCATTACAAGTTCCCAAGGGGTGAGCATCAGTAGAGAGATGCAAAATATGAAAAACACTTAAGTGCAACAGGTCTGCAGCAAGATCTCCCCCACCTTATGTATAATGCTAGCAAAGCTTCTGAACTGACAAATTCAGGACAGGACAGAAGGGTGGGCCTCAGAGCTAGAGAAGCTGCACACAGCAGTGGAGGAAGTATAGCAGGTGCTACATTTAAAGACAAGAAGAAAAGGACCTCCCTGCGTCTTCCACCCCACTGAGTGCTCCTAGGAAAAGAAAGCAGTAGTCAGGGACAGAGGCAGCATGAAGAACCCTAGTTACAGAAAAAAAGCAGTCTCCTTGATCACTCTTATCTTCCAATTTCCCTGACTTACATATGAATCCAACTTCTCTGAGTATTCCACACCTAAAAAACATAGCAGTTTCTGTCTTTTTTTGTTCGTTCAAGGCAGGGTTTCTCTGTGTAGCCCTGCTGTCTTGGAACTTGCTTGGTAAACTAGGTTGGCCCCAGAACTCACAGAGATCCACCTACCTCTGCCTCTGCATCCTAAGTGCTGGGATTACAGATGTGTGTTTCCATGTCTGACTAAGCTAAATTACTAAAAGGATGACTGAAAGTGCTCTTTGGCATTTTCAATCAATATAGCTAGTCAGGCCCTGGCTATATTGTATTTTACCTTCAGAGTTAAATACATTCCAGAAACTATTTCTCTTGCATGTTTCAAAGGCATGCTGCCTAAGCAAAGCTGACTGATAGGCTTCATGCTAAAGTGTACATATATCAGTGTCACTTATGTCTAAAGGATACACAGACCAACACATGCTCTCACACATGAAAATTCAAAGGCCAGCTTGTTTAGCTTCTACTAACAAAATAGGAGAGAAGAAAATGTTTCTTTCAGAACCTGAAAGCAACAGTTCACATAGGGAGTGAAATATCAAAGTCTAAGGCCAAGGAGCCAGAGAAATATCAAACTCTGAGAAGGACTACCTGCCAAATTCTTTGTCATACAAGCACACCACATGAAAGAGATTCAGAGCACAGAAGACAGGGTGAGAGGGCCTCAAAGTCCATGACATGTGGGCTTGAGGGCTGAGTCAAAGAAAGATTTACCCTTTGGCTGAAGGGAAGGCATGAGAGGCTCTTGCAGAGGTGGAAATAATCAGCAGACACTAAACAAATACATATCCATGATATCTAAAACCATAAACACCTTTTCCACCTTTCTGTTAGCTTTGAACATGTGATCCTCTTGTCTTAGCCCCTAGAGTTTTGGATGCCATCACAACCAATTTAGAAACACCTTTGTAATACAGGGGAAAGCATGTTCCGTAGCCCTGAAGGGAGTTTCCTGCACTATACCTGGATGTGGGCCATCTCTCCCTGCAGCCTGACCCTGGCCTCCTGGGCCAATGCAAGCTGCTGTTGGTACCACTGCCGGGCATTCTGCAGAGATGTAATTTCAGCCTGTGATGCTTGTAGTTTGCTGGTCAGTGTTGTACGCTCCAGCTGTACTTGCTGGAGCTGGCTCTGTAGGGCTGCCATCTGCTGCCGAAGGTCATGCACTGAAAGTAAGCAAGCACAGCCAACTCAGATGAACCAGCACCAACAGGAAAGCCACAGCTGAGTGGTCACTTGACCTAAAGTCGAAGTTTGTATAGAGAAGCAGTACAGTTGATGTTGGTTTTGCACAGTGGCATGGTCTATAAAGATACCACGAAAACAGCAGTGGTGGATAGACAACAATTACTCTCAGACAGAAAGGGGGTTCTGATGAGTCCCTAGTCACAACAGTTCTATTAACTGATGAAAGTTTCTGTTCATTTACCTGAGATTTTATTTAAATACATCTTAGTTAATCTCTACTGAATTTTTTGTGTGTCTTTAATTTTTTGATTCCTTTGTTGTAGCTTTCAGAGTAGCTGGGACTAAAATTATGTGCCACTAAACCTGGTTTAAATATTTTAAATGAAACAGACAGAGAGGAGAAAGAGAGGGAGAGGAAGAAGGAGAGAAATTGGGAGGTAGAGGGAGAGAAAAAGATATGACCATCATGCTGGACAGTTTTATGCCAACTTGACACAAGCTAAAGTCATCTGAGGGGAGAAAACTTCAATTAAGAAAATGCCTCCATAAGGATCAGGTTATAGGCAAGCTTGTAGGACATGCTCTTTATTAGTGATTAATGTGGGAAGGCCCAGCCCATTCACAATAGTGCCACCCCTGGGATAGTGGTCTTGGGTTGTATAAGAAACCAGACTGAACAAACCATGGAACAAGCCAGAGAACAGTACTTCTCCACCTCTGCATCAGCTCCTGTCTCCAGGTTCTTGCCTGTCTGAGCTCCTGTCCTAACTTCCTTCAGTTATGAACAGTGATGAGGAAACATAAGCCTAATAAAGCCTTTTCTCCCCAAGTTGCTTTGGGCATGGTGTTTCATCACAGCAACAGTAACCCTGACTACGACAACCAGGTTACTATGGCACAAGCCTGTTAGGTTAACATTTGGAAAATGGGAGGAAAAAGGAATCCAATGTTCAAGGTCATCCTCAGCTACATAGCAAGTTCAAGGTCGGTCTAAATTACATGAGACCCTGGCTCAAAAAGAAATAAAAGAGTAAGAAAGATTGTTTAAGAGAGTTCACGATCCCTTCTATGCAATGCTTCAATTCCAAAGTAATGAGAGAAAGGAACAAAATCCATCCATTTGGAAATTTTCAGATTTTCCCCCCTAAGGAACTAAGTACCATAAAATGCTCAAAGACTGAAAACTAGCAACTAAGGGACTGTTTCAATGCGGGTGGACTTTGTTCTAGTTTTAGAAATGAGCTTCTGCGATAGCAGCTCACCACTACTCTCAAGGTCATCATGGCCTCAAGAGCCCAAGCTGACACTCAACGACTGCAGACATGACCCTCCAATGCACTGGACAAGAGCCTATGTTCTTCTGTGTCATGAGGCCTTGGTCTTCAATCTCCCAACTCATGTTCAAACAGTATCCTTTTAGTGTATGTTGGTACCAGGGTTTAGCTCAAGTGAAGACTGAAAGCAGGGTATCTCTGTGAATCACCTCTAGGTCAGCCTCTAAGAGCTACAGACCAATACAACAAAGAAAGAAACTAATCAATAGTATAGGCATTGCTCTCAAGTATTTTAGATAGAATTTGAAATTAGAAAGAAAAAATGTTGTAGTGAGAGTTTCGGTTTCTTTTAAAAACACAGATATTAAACTACATTTTAATCCCAGGTGTGGGAATGTGGGGCTGCTTAGGATTGCCCACAGCATCTGATTTGACTGGATATGATTTACTTCATGCTCTATCAGGGGTGTGATTTTGGCTGCAGACAGTTTCTGCGTTTGTGTGATGTTTGGAATTCTGGGAACTTTTCAGAGGGTATTTAAATGCTAGGATCCTAAGAAGCAGGGTTGTCTGTTTGCCCCCAAGGAACTCAACGCTTCCCATCAGCTGGAAGTAGTCTAAGAATAACGTATCCCCTTTCCCCTCTATCCTATCTAGTGTTAGGGGGTTGAAAGGTTGGAAGAAAAGGGGTGGAGAAGGGTGGAAGAAAGAAGAAACCACAAAGTAGCAAAAGACAACCTACAAAATGTAGAATAAATATACAGCTCAACCAAAACACTGGATTTAGGAGGAAGAGTAGAAAGGATTACTTCTAGTGGTCAAAAGTCTAATGTCAATTTCTGAGATTATATCACCTACTTTATGCAAATATAGACTCTCAAGAGTATAGAGTCTCAAGAGTTCAGCCAAAACTTTATTTACTTTAGCAATGTACAGACTCTTTGTATTAATGTTAAGCTAACATGAACCCGAAGCTCCATCCACATGATATCAATTATTAGATCCAGAAATTGCATTTGGGCTGCAGACCTTACCTGTGTTGTCCTTGCTCAGGATGTTTCTCTGCATTTCCTCTACTTTGGCCATCAGTCTCTGATACTGCTCCTCTGCCACTTGGAGGTCATTGTTTGAGGATGCCAGGCTGGCATTTTTAGCTTCTAGCATGTTCTGCAGGTCAATCATGGCACGTTCTAGATCCCAGCAAGACTGCTTCAAAGTGTCCACTTCAGAACTAAGGGAGTCCTGCTTCTGCTGGCTGCTGTGGCTGTGTTCCACCTGTGCCTGCAGCCTTGTGCTCAGGGCAGCTAGCTGGGCCTGTAGCTCAGCCTTCTCTTGAAGTGCCTGAAAATATCCCCAAACAACGATAATGGCTTTCAGAAAAATAAGTCCCTCCCAACCACTGTTTTGACATGACTGCTGAAACCTATTAGAGTCACAATCAGTGGGACAGAGAAAAATGAGTTTTACCTAAGACATTCTACCCAAAACATGAGTCACTTAAACATGACAGTCAGCTATCTCCCATTATCAAACAAGTTGACAGATACCTGACAGATAAAAGCAGTCAGATTGATATCATTGAGGAAAACAGGCCCAAAACATTTGCTGGAGAATGTAGTTGTTGTAGAAAGCCATAACACAGATGCAAGAATGTCACTACAGAAACAACCACAGGACAGATCACAGAGCAAACAGGCCCCAGGAACTACAGAGAACAGCCACGAGGCAAGTGAGAGCTACAAGTGTTGTTTACTGGCAGGGTGCTTGGTTAGCATGCGATAGGGCCCAAATCCAATCCCTAATACCACAAAAGGGAGTTTGATAAATAAAAAATTAAAAAAACAAATGAAAAACAAAGACAAGCCCCAACCACCAGCACATTCTACTCATGCCAAGTCTACCTAAGAGTATGTATGGGAACTTAAAGCTCGACATGCTAAAGAAAATTTTGAAGACATGTTCCACAAACAGAACAAAAAAAACACCAAAGTGACCTAAATACATTAACAAGATTTTATTTATTTGCAGTACTGGGGACTGACCCCAGGGATTTATGCATGCTACGCAAAAGCTCTAACCCTGAGCTGTACACCAGATCAAGAGGGGTTTAGAGCCAATATAACTGGCATCTACAGGAGACTGCCAGAGAACCATATAGATCCTGAGGTTACTAGAACCCACTTCATAAGAGCATTAGAAAAAAAAAAAAAAAAGCCAGTGAAGAAGCAATGTAAAGATGCTTAGACCACCCTCAGGACTGAGCATACACAGAAAGCATAAATGGATGTGGAGACAGTTACATTCAGAATTAGTACAGAAAACTATGTACAACCAAAAATTAAAATCTCTGAAATCACCTTTGAAGATTGTGTTACATATAACTAAACTAACTGGTTTGTGTCTAAATAATTTTTAAGCATGACACATGTACTTAGCAAGCAATTTCATCTCATCACACACATGGCTTTAACCACTGTTCTCCTCCTGTAATATGTGTTCACAGCCTCAAGTCAGGCCTCTTATTGTCTCTCTCTGTGTATGTGCTCCCTGACAAAGCATATAGCTGACAACTCCTGAACAGACTCACTTTAAACTATTAACAAAAAGATAAAGATCTAATTCTCTGTTATTGAAAATAAATAAAGTCAGGTATGGTGGTACAGGCCTTTAGTACAAGCCTTTGAGAGGTACAGGCAGGAGGAGCAAGAATTCATCTTTAGTTCCACAGTAAGTTCAAAGCCAGCCTGGGCTACATGAGAAGCTATCTGAAAATAAACAAACAAACAAACAACTAACTGAAGTAAGTTTCATATAAAACAGTAAAAACTGAAAATTAAGGAATGAAGAGTTATTTTTTAAAAAACTATCTTATTTATGCTTCTCTGTGTGTATACATAGGAGAAAGGAGGATGCGCTGAGTTTCCTGGAGCTGAAATTATAGGTCGCTGTGAGCCACCTGTTGTGAATGCTGTGAACCAACCTTGGGTCCTTTGGAAGAGCAGTAGTGCTCTTAACCACTGCTCCGTTTCTCCAGCTCCACCCGTCCCCCAAATGAAAACAAGATACAGTAAAATTAATATCAGACAAAACAAACCATGGTCTAGCATGATAACTCAGCAGGTAAAGTCACTTGCTTCCAAGCATGAAGAACTTGGTTTGACTCCCTAAACCCATTTGGTAGAAAGAACCAAGTCCTGCAAGTTGTCTAGCATCTAAATACATGCCACATATATATCTACCCCCGGCATATACACAAACTCAAATATCTATATACAGATGTATATATATATATATATATATATATATATATATATCCTAATCTTTTAAGAACTGAGAAAAATTATTTATTTAAAAGTAATGCAGAATCCAGTGCAAAAAAGTAAGAATGGGGATAAAATGAAATTTTTACTCTATTAGAGAAACATAAAGTCAATGGGAGAACTTGACTGTCACAGACTCTCAGGTATTTTTAAGATATGCTTTTGGCAAATTCTAATGGAGACAGAGGAAAAGAAAGAGTTATAATTAAAACAGCACAACTTTGTAAAAGACCAACACATTCAGCAGACAAAATGAGTAACACAAACAAGTTGGCCAACGAGTTACACTTACAGTTATCTATAAAATTACATATAGCAGGGAGCCACATATTCTTTTCAAAGGCTTGGCTCAATGGGCAACAATCAAACACCTCTTACCTGACTAGCTTCTAATGACAAAGCCTCCAGCTGACCTTCAAGTCTCCTTTTATCTTTAAGAACCTGCAACATTTCATCCTGTGGTTCAGCAAAAGAGCTCTCCATGGACACACTAGAGGTCAAAAGTACAAAGTCAGGAGATGAGAACACGACAGCTGTTAATCTTCCTTTATCCTTCATCATATTGTCCATTTTTACACAACCCTCTGCTCCCTATTTATTTATTTATTTATTTATTTATTTATTTATTTATTTATTTATT